TGCATGCAGAATTCTGCAAAAACATCCTCTGTGTACAACGTAAAACACCAAATAATGCATGCAGAGCAGAATTAGGCCAATACCTGCTAATTATCAAAATCCAGAAAAGAGCCGTTAAATTCTATAACCACTTAAAAGGAAGCGATTCCCAAACCTTCCATAACAAAGCCATCACCTACAGAGAGATGAACTTGGAGAAGAGTCCCCTAAGTAAGCTTGTCCTGGGGCTCTGTTCACAAACACGAACAGACCCCACAGAGCCCCAGGACAACAACAACAACACAATTAGACCCAACCAAATCATGAGAAAACAAAAAGAGAATTACTTGACACATTGGAAAGAATTAACAAAAAAACTGAGCAAACTAGAATGCTATTTGGCCCTAAACAGAGAGTACACAGTGGCAGAATACCTGACCACTGTGACTGACACAAAATTAAGGAAAGCTTTGACTATGTACAGACTCAGTGAGCATAGCCTTGCTATTGAGAAAGGCAGACATGGCTCTCAAGAGAAGACAGGCTATGTGCACACTGCCCACAAAATGAGGTGGAATCTGAGCTGCACTTCCTGCCAAATGTATGACCATATTAGAGACACATACTTTCCTCAGATTACACAGACCCAAAAACAATTCCAATTTGGAAAACTCCCATATCTATTGGGTGAAATACCACAGTGTGCCATCACAGCAGCACGATTTGTGACCTGTTGCCACAAGAAAAGGGCAACCAGTGAAGAACAAACACCCTATATTTATGTTTATTTATTTTCCTTTTTGTACTTGAACTATGTGCACATCATTATAACACTGTAGAAAGACATAATATGACATTTGAAATATCTCTATTCTTTTGGAACTTTTGTGAGTGTAATGTTTACTGTAAATGTTGTATTGTTTATTTCACTTTTGTTTATTATCTATTTAATTTGCTCTGGCAATGTAAACATGTTTCCCATGCCAATAAAGCCCTTAATTTTTTGTTTTGTTGATAAAATTGAGAGAGAGAGAGAGAGAGAGAGAGAGAGAGAGAGACGCTTTGTGAATGAAGAAGCTCTGGTGTTATTAAAATGAGAGAGAGAGACAGGGCTCTGTAAGGGCAAGGGAGATCGTTTTTGATTTTCTCTTATTTAGCTGAATAAGTTCATCTTTAGCCCAGGCTTGCTGTTATGAAAACCCTCCCTGACACTTTTCATAAATGAGATCAGTGTTGCCTGAGAAATCCATGCAGCCATGCGGGAAGGACTAAAATGGCACTGCAGAAGAAAAAGGCAACACATCACAAGAATGGAGCCTTACAGGGCGTGATGGTGTGTGTGTGCATTCTCGTGTGTTATTATGTCTGTCTGTCTGTGATAGGATGCTCCATTTAACAAGCCAAGTGACCCACAGCTCTCCACTCCCTCCCCTTTACCCTGTGCCCTGTCATTTAGTCCTTCAGGCCCTCCTTCTCTCCCCAAATCACTGACATTTCCCCTAAACACTTAAACCGTCTCCATCAACTTGGTAATTCACTCTAAGTGCACACTCAGTTGCAGACTCTGCAGCCCTCCCTTCATGAATTGGATAGGAGATTTCGGTCTGAAAGCTACTTAGAGCCTTTTCGCTAAACCGCTAGCAGAAGAATACTAATACAGACCCGGTCTCCCCATGTCTTGAAGATTAAATAAAGTATCTGTGCTGATCCAGCTTCTGCGGCTTCTCCAGCCAAAGACTCAACACCCGGATTGAGGCATTTACACTGGATCTCTCTGTTTGTAATGTGACAGAGATGTGATTTTCATATGCATACAGGCAGAACCCTCCCAATCCAAAATATTAATCTCACTAGAAACATGCAGTGTACAGCATAAAGTACAGGCAGGCAGGCAGACAGGCAGTATCCACGTAGTCTTGTTCATTGTCAATGTAAATGGGAGAGCAGGTGTGGGTGAATATATCAATATCAGCCTCACTTTTTTTCTGAAGGCTTTTATTTAGATATGAGATGTACCTGCCTGCAAAACCAATTATAGAACTGCAAATAACATCATCTGGATATGATGTGGAGGCGTGATATTTATCTGGGTTGGAAACATGTTACCTCTAGCTGAGCATCCTAATGAGAGAGATATTTGAGAAACAATGTAAGAAACCGGTAAGAATATAATATCTATGGAAATATGCATCATCGTATATTTTTTCGAGAAGCGTAGTTAGAGCTCTTAGACTATAGCTCAGCAAATATAGCCTAAAACCTAAACAGTCAGCAGCCCTTCGAGAACATCATAACATCAACAATATATTTTCCCCTGAGGAAATTATGATTTGACATTAACAATGAATAATACAAGAATGATAAGAAACGAGTTAGCTTCTTCGGTACAAACAACATTCTATTTGACGAGTTATACAATGGATAACACCAGAGTTGTAAGAAATGAGTTATTATGCTGTCATAACCGTGGTGCTACCAACATTGCAATCAACATTCTATCCAGGAGCCATGAGTTCCTCTCCTTCCCTCAGACAACTGATTAGCCCATATTGTAAGCAGACATTTTAACCTCTGTGATAATGTTCTGATTCACCTGCCAGTGGGTGAGCATGTTAGAAGCTATCCCTGTGTTGATGTCTTCCCAGGTTCCCATGTCTGTCAGAGTGCTGTGATGAGTATCCTGATTACAACCACTGTGTGCCGGTCAAATTAGAATCCCACCATCCCAGCGGTGCCACACTTGGCTTGTCAAGAGATCTCTGCGGTTTTCCTAACTGCCTGACTTCAAATCAATCCATCTTCCCTAGGATCCATATAGGATTGGTCCTTGAATCGTGACTTTGGCCGAGTGATTTAAGCCTTCCCCCTGGCGTCCATGGACTCCATAGCATTGGGCCCATGTTATGCTGTGATTGAATGATCCTATTATTATTATTTTCTATGTACTGTGACTACTGTGGCTGCCCGTGTTATCTATTGCTATGTTAATGCACAGATGACTCTAAGGTCAAGCCTCCTCCCTTATCCATCCTTCCATAGGTTTGCCGTTGCTCTATTCACCGGGCCAATGATTAGCCACCCCCAGATGCTTTGTGTTGCCAAAGGTTTTTGGAATTCTGCCGAAAGACGATATGAATACAAATGTGGTTCAAGTCAAATTATGCAAAAAAATACACTGCTTTATAGCCTATGCTACTTTATATGGAAATCCTGGAGAGAGAGAGAGAGAGAGAGAGAGAGAGAGAGAGAGAGAGAGAGAGAGAGAGAGAGAGAGAGAGAGAGAGAGAGAGAGTATAGAGAGAGAGCGAGAGATGAGAGAGAGAGGATGAGAGAGAGAGAGAGAGAGAGAGAGAGAATGAATAGCTTCGGGTCAAGGGGATAATGATTTGATGGGTGTGTGGCGAGTATTTAAGGTCATAGAGGTGTGCATGTGTGTGTGTTTGTAGGCTGCATGTGTGTGTGACTGACATTAACAAAGCAGACGGGAATATTAATGAAGGATGACATAGACATGGGGGGGGGGGGGGGGACAGTTGTGTTCCACATGACTACATACCTATTTGTCTCTAATGAGTGGTCACAGACAGGGGCTTAGGCATGTCCTCTCTAATTTGATCTCTGAGGAATGCTAATTTATTTAGGCCAGTCTCCCCTCTGTCTATTGCTTCATCATTATATACCTCTACCACCTGATCTGGAGTCAGTTCTGTACGGTGTCTCTAAGTGCCTGCTGTCTAATGCTTTGGGCTTGAGTTATTACCCAGCATTTCCTGATCACATTGAATACATTATGATTACAGTATATTATCTCCACCTGAGTGAAACATACATTGTTGGAATTGACCCATGTCACATGACTTCCCCGATAGAGAGCTCTACGGTGTCCTCGGATGAACACTTCATAAATGAAGCAGAAACCATTAAATAAATATCCAACCTTTTGCATGATGAATGGCTCTGTCATAAATGCTGTATTGTGTTTTAGACTAATTGTCCATGGTAAATCTAAATGTGTTGATGCCCCAGAGGAGCCTGTAAACAGCAGGCCCCAAAAAACCCACTAAGGTAGCCTGTCAAGAACAGGCCCCAAAACCCTACTGCTGTAGGCTGTAAACAGCAGGCCCCAAAACCCTACTGCTGTAGCCTGTAAACAGCAGGCCCCAAAAAACCCACTAAGGTAGCCTGTCAACAACAGGCCCCAAAACCCCACTGCTGTAGGCTGTCAAAAACAGGCCCAAAACCTCACTGCTGTAGGCTGTCAACAACAGGCCCCAAACCCCACTGCTGTAGGCTGTCAACAACAGGCCCCAAACCCCACTGCTGTAGGCTGTCAACAACAGGCCCCAAAACCCCCACTGCTGTAGGCATCAACGATTGGCCCAAAAAACCCACCGCTCTAGGCAGAGATCCGCACAGATAGTTCACAGCAACATGAGATCATGATTGTCTGCCACAGCAACAGTGAAAGGAGAAGTAGACTGCATACTATGGAAGAACTAATCATGTCTTTCTTTCTTTCTTTCTTTCTTTCTTTCTTTCTTTCTTTCTTTCCCTTTTGCTTTCTTTCTTTCTTTCTTTCTTTCTTTCTTTCTTTTCGTTTTTCTTCTTTCTTTCTTTCTTTCTTTCTTTCTTTCTTTATCTCTCTCTCTCTATTCTTCTCTTCTCTTTCACCCTTACCCTCCACCTCTCTCTCTCTCTCTCTCTCTCTCTTCTCCTGTTTTTTATTATTTTCTCTCTCTCTCTCCCTCCACATCTCTCTCTCTTTTCTCTCCCTTCTCTTATTTTCTATTATTCTATTTCTATTCTCTTCTCTCGCTCTCTCTTGCTGTCTCTCTCTGTCTGTATCTCTCCGTCTCTCTCTCTCTTTCTCGCTCTCTCTTGCTGTCTCTCTCTGTCTGTATCCCTCCCTCTCTCTCTCTCTCTCTCTCTCTCTCTCTCTCTCTCTCTCTCTCTCTCTCTCTCTCTCTCTCTCTCTCTCTCTCTCTCTCTCTCTCTCTCTCTCTCTCTCTCTCTCTCTGTAGGTTCCTTTGTGTGATTCTACCATGGACCACATCCTCTTTTGCCTGCTGGTCCTGGGAACCACAGTGTTGATGGCCCATGCATGCCCAAAGTACTGTGTCTGCCAGAACCTGTCCGAGTCCCTGGGGACCCTGTGTCCCTCCAAAGGCTTGCTCTTCGTCCCACTGGACATTGACCGGCGCACTGTAGAGCTCCGGCTGGGCGGCAACTACATCCTCCGCATCACCCAGCAGGACTTTGCCAACATGACCGACCTGGTGGACCTGACGCTCAGCCGCAACACCATCAGCTACATCCAGCCCTTCTCCTTCATCGACCTGGAGACCCTGCGCTCCTTACACCTTGACAACAACCGCCTCACAGAGCTCGGTCCTGATGATCTCCGGGGCCTGGTCAACCTGCAGCACCTCATCCTTAACAACAACCAACTGGGACGCATCTCGGACCGGGCCTTGGAAGATCTGGCCCCCTCCCTAGAGGATCTGGATCTGTCCTACAACAACCTGAGGAGCCTGCCCTGGGACTCAGTCAAGCAGATGGTCTCCCTACACCAGTTGAGTCTTGACCATAACCTCCTGGTCTTCATCCCTGAGGGGACCTTTACGGATCTAGAGAGACTGGCTCGCCTGGATCTCACCTCCAACCGACTCCAGAAGCTGCCCCCAGACCCCATCTTCGCCAGGGCCCAGGATTCAGTGGTGATGACCACTCCCTACGCCCCTCAGCTGTCTCTTGGCATCGGGGGGAACCCCCTGCACTGTAACTGTGAGGTGCTATGGCTGCGGCGGCTGGAGAGGGACGACGACCAGGAGACCTGCGCTTCCCCTTCCAACCTGAAGGGACGCTACTTCTGGTATGTGAGGGAGGAGGAGTTTGTGTGCGAGCCGCCCCTCATCACTCAGCACACCCACAGGATGCTGGTGCTGGAGGGCCAGGCGGCCAGCCTGAGGTGCGAGGCCGTTGGAGACCCCACCCCCACCATCCACTGGATGGCCCCCGACGATCGTGTCCTTGGCAACTCGTCCCGTACCGTCATCTACGGCAACGGCACCCTGGAGATCCTCATCACCACCTCCAAGGACTACGGTACCTTCACCTGCATCGCGGCCAATGTGGCCGGGGAGTCCACCGCCTCAGTGGATCTGTCAATCATCCAGCTGCCCCACCTCAGCAACGGCACCGGTCAGGGCTCGCAGCCCAAGTCCCGCCTCTCGGACATCACCGGCACCACCAGGATAAGCAAGGGGGTTCCAAAGACACCGCTGGAGAAAGTGGTCACTGTGTCAGAGGTGACAGCCATTTCAGCCCTGGTTAAGTGGACCGTCAGCAAGGCAGCGCCCAAGGTAAAGATGTACCAGCTCCAGTACAACTGTTCCGACGACGAAGTCCTCATCTACAGGTAACAAAGCCAGACTGTTTTTCATGTTTCCTTTGTTTTCAGAGAAGAAGGAACACTGATAGCCTTGATCTATGAGGGAACAAAAGACGGAAGAGACGCTTAAAACAAGTGACTTGTTTTGTTTAACTAAAGATAATGTGTCTCTCAGCTTTCACAAAAGATAGATGGATTGTACCAAACAGTAAATGATGCTGTTTACAGTAAACAAAATACACAGTATCAATAACACTGCCATGTGTACAGAACCAGCAACTTTCATACCCAGCTTCCATAACAATATAGCCTACAATGGTGTTGTTGATCCTTAGTGATCCATCCATCATCCATCGTTTCTTTCTGTCCGTTGAATTGTTAGACAGCGAAACAACTCACTCTTCACTTTCCACTGCCTTTTTCATCATCTGATGAAATGGAGCATCGGCTCCACTATGCTAAGTAGGCCATAAATAAGGGAATTTCATCCCTAAGCTTAATAGATGGATATTCTGTCAATCCACTACAGCAGCTATTTGATGATGCTGAAAGTGTATTACAGGAAGCTGATATATAGTATATTAGCACATCTCCAAACGACTGTGAAACCAGCCGGAAAGGAAATCCAATTATTTAATGCCATTTAAATTAGTTACTATGTTAAAACCTAGAGAAAGGCAGATCATTTCAGCCATAGCCTTTGAGAGTTGTGCTGTAACCCTTTAGTGACATATAGGTCTATATCTCATCAGACAGTATTTATATCTGCTTATCATTACCACTACAATTGGTTATGATCGTTTTCTAGTTTATTATGTCAACTTTATTTAAAAAAGGGATTGGAATCTAAATTCTTAACTCTAACTTGTACTATACCTGCCATGAAAAGAATGATATGCAGTCCTATAGTCACTGTAGAGCTTGTTATCACATACAGTATGACTCCCCATTAGAAAACCAGTCCTTCTACCTCTTCAAAACAAATCTGTAGAAAATCATAAGTGTTTTCTCTTTTCTCTGCCAAACCTGAATCGGGATAAAAGATGCAGGGCTTGGAGGACAATATGACACAGTATATGTATTTACCCTATGGTTAGAGCAAGATAGAATATATACCCAGATCATGAATATGTTAAGCGCATTATCTTAATCCATCAGGATTGTATAAGCAGTAATAGAAGGCAAGGAAGGTGCTATACGTGGACATAGTAATGGAAGTTATGCGTCAGACACGGAACTTCATTAATATTTCAGTTGAATTGCAATGAGTCCCTCAGAGCAATCCTTTACCATATAATGGTTTGATTGTCCCATCCCATGTGATTTAATGCCTATGCTTCTCTTCGGCTTGGCGATGTGTTTCAGAAATGATAGCAAGATCCTGGGGCCACTATTATTGGTTATTAGCTGGAGTCGAGGAGAGTGGTGGTGGATCCACGCTCCACACATCTTGCATCACAGAGAAACATGTTAGTTTTGGTATTTTGTATTTTATTAGGATCCCCATTAGCTGTTGCGAAAGCAGCAGCCACTCTTCCTGGGGTCCACACAAAACATGAAACATGACATAATACAGAACATTAATAGACAAGAACAGCTCAAGGACAGAACTACATACATTTAAAAACGGCACACACAGCCTACATATCAATACATACACACAATATCTAGGTCCAATATGGGAGAGGCGTTGTGCCGTGAGGTGTTGCTTTATCATATTTTTTTTAAAACCAGGTTTGCTGTTTATTTGAGCAATATATACATGTATAGTTCCATGCAATAATTTCTCTATATAATACTATACACTTTCTTGAATTTGTTCTGGATTTGGGGACTGTGAAAAGACCCCTGGTGGCATGTCTGGTGGGGTAAGTGTGTGTGTCAGAGCTGTATGTAAGTTGACTATGCAAACAATTTGGGATTTTCAACACATGAATGTTTCTTATAAAAAGAGGAAGTGATGCAGTCTGTCTCTCCTCAACTCTTAGCTAATAGAAACTGGCATGCATAGTACTTTTATTAGCCCTCTGATTACAATTAAGAGCAAGACATGCCGCTCTGTTCTGGGCCAGCTGCAGCTTAACTAGGTATTTTTTTGCAGCACTTGACCACACAACTGGACAATAATCAAGATAAGACAAAACTAGAGCCTGCAGGACTTTATTTTTGGAGTGTTGTGTCCGAAAAGCAGAGCATCTCTTTATTATGGACAGGACTCTCCCCATCTTTACAACCATTGAATATATATGTTTTGACCATGACAGTTTAACAATCTAAGGTAACACCAAGTAGTTTAGTCTCCTCAACTTGTTCAACAACCACACCATTCATTACCAGATTCAGCTGAGGTCTAGAGTTTAGGGAATGATTTGTACCAAAATACAATGCTCTTAGTTTTAGATATGTTTAGGACCAGTTTATTACTGGCCACCCATTCCAAAACTGACTGCAACTCCTTGTTAAGGGTTTCAGTGATTTCATTAGCTGTGGTTGCTGACATGTACAGTGGGGGAAAAAAGTATTTAGTCAGCCACCAATTGTGCAAGTTCTCCCACTTAAAAAGATGAGAGAGGCCTGTAATTTTCATCATAGGTACACGTCAACTATGACAGACAAATTGAGGGAAAAAAATCCAGAAATTCACATTGTAGGATTTTTAATGAATTTATTTGCAAATTATGGTGGAAAATAAGTATTTGGTCACCTACAAACAAGCAATATTTCTGGCTCTCACAGACCTGTAACTTCGTCTTTAAGAGGCTCCTCTGTCCTCCACTCGTTACCTGTATTAATGGCACCTGTTTGAACTTGTTATCAGTATAAAAGACACCTGTCCACAACCTCAAAAAGTCACACTCCAAGCTCCACTATGGCCAAGACCAAAGAGCTGTCAAAGGACACCAGAAACAAAATTGTAGACCTGCACCAGGCTGGGAAGACTGAATCTGCAATAGGTAAGCAGCTTGGTTTGAAGAAATCAACTGTGTGAGCAATTATTAGGAAATGGAAGACATACAAGACCACTGATAATCTCCCTCGATCTGGGGCTCCACGCAAGATCTCACCCCGTGGGGTCAAAATGATCACAAGAACGGTGAGCAAAAATCCCAGAACCACACGGGGGGACCTAGTGAATGACCTGCAGAGAGCTGGGACCAAAGTAACAAAGCCTACCATCAGTAACACACTACGCCGCCAGGGACTCAAATCCTGCAGTGCCAGACGTGTCCCCCTGCTTAAGCCAGTACATGTCAGGCCCATCTGAAGTTTGCTAGAGTGTATTTGGATGATCCAGAAGAGGATTGGGAGAATGTCATATGGTCAGATGAAACCAAAATATAACTTTTTGGTAAAAACTCAACTCGTCGTGTTTGGAGGACAAAGAATGCTGAGTTGCATCCAAATAACACCATACCTACTGTGAAGCATGGGGGTGGAAACATCATGCTTTGGGGCTGTTTTTCTGCAAAGGGACCAGGACGACTGATCCGTGTAAAGGAAAGAATGAATGGGGCCATGTATCGTGAGATTTTGATTGAAAACCTCCTTCCATCAGCAAGGGCATTGAAGATGAAACGTGGCTGGGTCTTTCAGCATGACAATGATCCCAAACACACCGCCCGGGCAACGAAGGAGTGGCTTCGTAAGAAGCATTTCAACGTCCTGGAGTGGCCTAGCCAGTCTCCAGATCTTAACCCCATAGAAAATCTTTGGAGGGAGTTGAAAGTCCGTGTTGCCCAGCGACAGCCCCAAAACATCACTGCTCTAGAGGAGATCTGCATGGAGGAATGGGCCAAAATACCAGCAACAGTGTGTGAAAACCTTGTGAAGACTTACAGAAAACGTTTGACCTGTGTCATTGCCAACAAAGGGTATATAACAAAGTATTGAGAAACTTTTGTTATTGACCAAATACTTATTTTCCACCATAATTTGCAAATAAATTCATAAAAAATCCTACAATGTGATTTTCTGGAAAGAAAATTTCATTTTGTCTGTCATAGTTGACGTGTACCTATGATGGAAATTACAGGCCTCTCTCATCTTTTTAAGTGGGAGAACATGCACAATTGGTGGCTTACTAAATACTTTTTTCCCCCACTGTATATGGTTAAATCATCAGCATACATAGACACACAGGCTTTGTTTAATGCCAGTGGCAGGTCATTGGTAAAAATAGAAAAGAGTAGAGGGCCTAGAGAGCTGCCCTGCGGTACGCCACACCCTACATGTTTAACATAGGGGCGTATAACCTCCAGGTTAGAGTGTTGGGCCAATAACCGAAAAGTCGCTGGTTTGAATCCTAGAGCCAAAAAGGTGAAAACCTGTCATTGTGCCCTTGAGCAAGGCACTTAACCCCAATTGCTCCAGGGGCGCTGGACGATGGTGACCCTGCCCATGCAAAAAAACAGATTTCCACTTGTACTAGTGTGTAACGGCCAAATATAAGTACCCCCCCCCCCCCCAAAAAAAAAAAAACATGACATACCCATTAGTCTTTAGACAAAAATAGGAATCTTGCCCATCTAGAGCCTTGCCCTGGACCCATTTGATATTTTATCTGTTGAACCTATCCTTAGGCCAAGACATTCATACTTGAGAATGTGGTCTTTAAAATGTGTCCGATTTGGGTACGAGTGAACAGATAACGTCCCGTGTCAGTTATAACGTAATGAAATATTCAGGCATTCAACAAGGTTTAGAGAGTCTTTTTACAGGAGGGAAATGGGATCTGCATTTGCATATTAATGGTGCGTTTCAGGCAGAATTCAGAGGCAGATATTGATGCGATCATCTTTTTAACAGTTATGATGAAGAGTTTTCTAGCGATCATTAGCTTTGGATTTAACAACCCTTATTGTAATCGTTGTGTGTATTGATGTGCTAGTAGGAGGATTCTCTTTTATTTGAAAAGTCAATGTTATTCAAAAAAGAGAGTTTACAAGCTCTTTTATGCTTATTTATTATTTGTAGAGGCAACAAGCTTGAGCTTAACAAAGCCAACACACTAACCAAACCTTGAGCTTAGCAACACAAGCCAAAACAGTAACCAAACCTTGAGCTTAACAACACAAGCCAACACACTAACCAAACCTTGAGCTTAGAAACACAAGCCAAAACACTAAAAAAACCTTGAGCTAATAGTGCAGTTGCACTGTTTGACACTGCCAAAGTTTGCTGTTTTTCTAAATGTACTCATCCATTATATAATGACCATAGCAGGATGTTTTATGGCAGGATATACACTCAAGGGTATTACATTTACATTTACGTAATTTAGCAGACGCTCTTATCCAGAGCGACTTACAAATAGGTGCATTCACCTTATAGCCAGTGGGATAACCACTTTACAATGTTTTATTTTTTTTTGGGGGGGGGGGGGGGGGGGGGGGGTTGGGGTAAGGGGGGGTAGAAGGATTAATTTATCCTATCCCTGGTATTCCTTGAAGAGGTGGGGTTTCAAATGTCTCCGGAAGGTGGTGAGTGACTCCGCTGTCCTGGCGTCGTGAGGGAGCTTGTTCCACCATTGGGGTGCCAGAGCAGCGAACAGTTTTGACTGGGCTGAGCGGGAACTGTGCTTCCGCAGAGGTAGGGGAGCCAGCAGGCCAGAGGTGGATGAACGCAATGCCCTCGTTTGGGTATGGACACAGACACAGGCGAGCATCAAGTTCCATTTAATCTCCCCACTACCGCTACAGTAAAATTCAGCAGCATCTCCCAATAAATGCCCTAGGAGAGAGTGCAGAGCCCATTAGGTATTTTTGCTTATATAAGCATAATCACATTTCCCAGCACCCTGACATTTAGGCTGAATCAATGGAGCAAGAGACCCATTTGGCATGGCATGACCTTGTCTGTTAACCAGAGAGAGGCCGCCTTAAGAAATCAATGAAAATAATGAGTTATGGGGGGGGGGGGGGGTTAGCCATAAAATACTTTAACTTGAGTGGGATAAATGCTATAGCCAGAAGTAATGATTTGTTTGTTTGTTTTCACTGTTGTTGTTTTTCTTGCCAATGAGGAAGTGTGTTGAAACTGTAACTGACAATAGCTTTTAAACTATAAATAAATAAATAATAACTAATATAAATAATAATTATATATTTAATTATTTATTTTTATTTATATATAATTATATATTTAAACTGTTTGGGAGGAAGAGGGTAACTGTGGCTGACTGCTGTCTATCCCTCTCCCCTTCCCCACTACATTTCCTTCCCAGAAGCAATTTTTAAGTTCCCTCTCTCGCTCCGATTAATTTTAAGGCCTCATGCCGTCACTGGAAACGATGCAAAGCAATCTCCAAATTGCCTTTCAACGCCCGAAGGGGGTGGGGGAAAAAATTGGTATTAATCTCCTCATGATAAGCACAGCCAGACGTTTTTCCTGAGTTCCACTTTGTCCCGATGTATTTGAATTCAGCTGAATGAAACAGTCAACGCAGACGGCCTGAAATGAATCAGTCACAGGACAGAGCAGCGCCCGGCAAAACCCTCACTAAGCACTGGAATTTCCCTCCCTCCCATGCCCATGCCAAGCAAGCAATTATCACTGTGTAATAGATTACATCCCCTGAGGACCAAAACAGGAAATATTATCAACTTTTGATAATGCATCTTTTGCTACAGTATTAGTGTGGAACAAGTTATCAGAACACACAGAACAATGAGCAAGAAAAGTTATGGCATCATTGGTTATAGTTATTCTCATACAGTTATATATCACATAGGTGTTTATGGCCAGCTTATCACATGGGTGTTTATGGCCAGCGTATCACATGGGTGTTTATGGCCAGTTTATCACATGGGTATTTATGGCCAGTTTATCACATGGGTGTTTATGGCCAGCTTATCACATGGGTGTTTATGGCCAGTTTATCACATGGGTGTTTATGGACAGTTTATCACATGGGTGTTTATGGCCAGTTTATCACATGGGTGTTTATGGACAGTTTATCACATGGGTGTTTATGGCCAGCTGATCACATGGGTGTTTATGGCCAGTTTATCACATGGGTGTTTATGGCCAGTTTATCACATGGGTGTTTATGGTGTCCATGATCTCGCCATCACGGTTGACAACTCCGTTGTGTCCTCCTCCCAGAGTGCGAAGAGCCTTGGCGTGACCCTGGACAACACCCTGTTGTTCTCCGCTAACATCAAGGCGGTGACCCGATCCTGTAGGTTCATGCTCTACAACATTCGGAGAGTATGACCCTGCCTTACACAGGAAGCGGCACAGGTCCTAATCCAGGCACTTGTCATCTCCCGTCTGGATTACTGCAACTCGCTGTTGGCTGGGCTCCCTGCCTGTGCCATTAAACCCCTACAACTCATCCAGAATGCCGCAGCCCGTCTGGTGTTCAACCTTCCCAAGTTCTCTCACGTCACCCCGCTCCTCCGCACACTCCACTGGCTTTCAGCTGAAGCTCGCATCTGCTACAAGACCATGGTGCTTGCCTACGGAGCTGCGAGGGGAACGGCACCTCCGTACCTTCAGGCTCTGATCAGTCCCTACACCCAAACGAGGGCATTGCGTTCATCCACCTCTGGCCTGCTGGCCCCCCTACCTCTGCGGAAGCACAGTTCCCGCTCAGCCCAGTCAAAACTGTTCGCTGCTCTGGCACCCCAATGGTGGAACAAGCTCCCTCACGACGCCAGGACAGCGGAGTCACTCACCACCTTCCAGACACACTTGAAACCCCACCTCTTTAAGGAATACCTGGGATAGGATAAAGTAATCCTTCTACCCCCCCCTTACCCCACCTCCCAAAAAATTTAATAAAAATGGCTATAAGGTTAATGCACCCATTTGTAAGTCGCTCTGGATAAGAGCGTCTGCTAAATGACGTAAATGTAAATGTATGGCCAGCTTATCACATAGGTGTTTATGGCCAGCTTATCACATAGGTTTTTATGGCCAGCTTATCACATGGGTGTGCATGGCCAGATAGTGTGACTGAATGACTGATGTTGTCGAACAATTGACAGGATGTTATCAGCTCTGAGCCAGTTCCCTGGACATAACTAGTCACGTTCTCAGACAGGTTCCTCCCTTACAAGCGGTCTAAGACTCGCCTGAGCAACACAGGTATCAGAGGCTCTAGCTGTTACAGAAGCCTTTCACTCTTTTCCTCTGTGTTCTGGTTATTTATTCATCTCGCTGCTCCATGGCTCAGACATGGGGTGGAGCGTCTGTTTGCTGCAGCAGGACAGATGGTTTAGAGAGATAAAGCCAATTACAGCTGGCTATCTGTTAGACTAGAACATCAACCACAAAGAGACTTAACACTGGACAACTCCTCAGGAATGAACATAAGAACACGGAAGCCCTCCTTTTCATTCGGTGGAAATTACATTATAAAGAACACTCATGCACAGTTTTTTTCAATGTATTGATATGAAATGTATAGTGTCAAGAAAGCCGTATGTTAAAAGCATTATCCTCCAAATCAATTAAATTATATCAAATGTACTAGGTTTTCACAGCTGACATTCCCAGGTTTTCACGGATGTCCAACAATGATTATGCTGACTCGACTCAGTCATCACCATGTTTTACTCTTCCTCTCTGTTTCTACAGGATGATCCCGGCCTCCAGCCAAGCCTTCCTGGTGACCAACCTGGTGTCTGGGACCAAGTACGATCTGTGTGTCCTGGCCGCCTGGGACGACACAGCCACCACCCTGACGGCCACCAACGTGGTGGGCTGTGCCCAGTTCTTCACCCGCGACGACTACACCCAGTGCCAGTCTCTCCACAGCCAGTTCCTGGGGGGCACCATGATCCTGGTGGTGGGTGGCATCATTGTGGCGACGCTACTCGTCTTCATCGTTATCCTGATGCTGCGCTACAAGGCCACCGACCATGAGGGGGGTGGCAACGGGGGGAGAGGCAAGCTGACCAGCGTTAGTGACACCCACTCGCAGACCAATGGGGGCCGGCTGGGACAGAATGGTGTGCCCCTTCCCCTGCCCAAACCCAAGGCCAAAGTGACTCTCCAGGACGAGGTGGTGGAGTTTAAATGTGGCTCCCTCCAGAGCACCTCGTCCTCGTCCTCGTCCTCGTCGGGAGGCTCGATGGTCGGGGGGCGGTCCTACAGCCCCAACAGCACCCTGGCCAACATGTGGAGGCAGGCGGCCCCCTCCAAGCCCCGGGCCAACCTGGATCACCTGCTGGGGGCCTTCAACTCCCTGGAGCTCCGGGGAGCCCAGGGCATGGGCAGGGGAGACCTGGGGGAGCCCTCCTCCAGCAGTAGCACTCCGGTGGCGGGTGGCGATAGGCCCCACACGGACAGGGAGCCCCTGCTGGGCCGGACAATGGACTCGCGGCTGAGCCGGCTGCTCATGCTGCCTCTGGACTCCAAACCAAAAAGGAGCCAGTCGTTTGACATGGGGGACTGTATGGATGCAGACAGACAAACAAACCAAGTGAAGGCTTCTAGCACCTCCACTGCCAACACGCCGGTATGCAGCTATCCGCGTCGCATCAGCAACATCTGGACTAAGAGGAGCCTGTCTGTGAACGGCATGCTGCTACAGTGTGACGAGGAGGGGGATATGGGGGGGAGCAAGGGGACCTTAGATAGCCAAGAGTGGGTCATGGAGAGTACTGTCTAGGAGAGATGATGACATGCTTTGTGTCTTCTAAAACACTGCCCCAGAGAGATGGCAATACGCCTCAGTTCTGATAGACCCACAGGCTAGAGGAGAAGTCCCTGCCTCCTCCCTCCCTCCTCGTCCAGCATGGAATTCATTAATGTTAATCCTCCATTGTTGTGACAGATAAGTACAAAGTTCCCCCAAGTGGGTAGTCGGCTAACGACGCTTGGTGGAAGAAGCTGATTCGTGGAGTGAGGTTGTTTTGTGTTTGTATGTGCGTGTTCTCTACATGGGGTCAGGGAACGCACAGTAATGGTCAACTACAAACTACAAGTAAGGCATGCAATGAAACCTAGGAAATGGGAAGCAGGCCTGTTGTTCCTAAGGAGGGCCGTGGTTTCTCAGAAACAAGGAATGTGAAAAAAATCACTTTATTTGTTGACTTGTAAAATGGCATAACAGTGAAAGTCCCTCTTGTTACTGTTGCTGAGATGATGGGCCAATCATGGCCCTGGACTACTACTGCTGTAAGTGAATCTGAAATATGTAATGAATTTAACAAATGTACATGTTTTATTATGCTGATCAAACACACGTTGTCCAATACTGTTCTTCCCCTCTGTACAAGACGGGGCTCCGACTTCAATATTTGCATTATGAAAAACCTCAATATACTGTCAGGTCCAAAATGATTGGCACCCTTGATAAGGATGAGCTAAAAAGACTGCACAAAATATATAATAGAAATACTGAGCTATATTGTATGCAAAAAAAAAAAGGGACATTATATTATTTTATACTAATACAAAATAGAGCTCTTTGATTACACACACCAGTGGTGGGTTTGGTGTCGAAAAACTGAAGAATATGCAGAAAAGTACCTCATACCTACGGTAAAATATGGTGATGTATCTTTGATGTAATGGGGCTATTTTTGTATCCACTGGTCCTGTGGCCCTTGTTAAGGTCAACGGCATCATGAACTTTACCAAATACCTGAAGATTGTAGCCAAAAACCTGGTTGCCTCTGCCAGGAGGCTAACACTTTGACACAACTGGATCTTCCAGCAAGTCAATAACCGTGCACATCAAAATCTACAAAGAAATGGTTAATTGACCACAAAATCAACATTTTGCAATGGCTGTCTCAGTCTCCGGACTTGAACCCCTTTGAAAACCTGTGGTTTGAATTGAAGAGGGCAGTCTGTAAGCGCAGACGAAGGATGTCAAGGATCTGGAAAGATTCTGTATGGAGGAATGGTTTAAGATCCCTCACAATGTGTTCTCCAATCTCATAAAACATTTTAGAAAAAGGCTCAGTGCCGTTATCCTCGCAAGGGTAGGGTGCTGGAGTACTAATACATTTGACCCCTATAGTTTTTAGATTTATTTTATTACTTGTTAAACAAAATCCCTTTCTCTGAGTTTAAAATAATATAATTTTCAAAACAAATTGAGCATGCTCTGTATTTGTATTTTTTATTTGATACAGTATTTTTTGCTCCTCTTTATCAAGGGTGCCAATCATGATGGACCTGACCGTATATCCATCTGCATGTTTTAATATCCACAGAACCATTTTGTTTCTTTACCCATTCTGACTGAATGGTACTGTATATATATATATACTTTATATCAGCAATGTAATTAATCATAAAAATATATATATATGAAATGATTTCATGAAACCACCGTATGTGAATATTTTAACTTTGTATACAGAATGTATATTTGAGGCTTCATTAAATAATTCCATATCTGGTTCCTATCAAGTTGTATTCATGTATAAAGCAAGCAGACAATTCATCCTCAAAACCATGAAATATATGTTTTAAGATAGCAATGTGAAAAGGGTAAGGTCTTAAGTGAAAATGTAACTGTTATTGTGAGTTATCTTAATGGCACTTAAAAGGTTTATTAGAGGAGAGTCCTATGATTAGTTTCAGCAAAAGAGCATGGCCCCTGTTGGCCTCCAAATCAATTAACCCAGTATAGAGCTAACAACCAGCAGGAGAGTACCCTCTCTGGCACAGAAAGATTAAGCCCTCAGAAAAACTGCAGCTCAACATGATCAATCGTTGAGAAACAAGCATCCTTCTCCAATTCCAATGAACATCTTTAATTTTTTATGTACTTTGATACACTAATGTATCTGGATCTCATCACCTAAAATGTTTTACATTTGAGGGTAAGCAGACACCTTGCCTCCCTCACCAGTTATTGGCATGAGAAATGTACAGGAAATTTGTACTAAACTGTCTGTGTCTAGGAATTCTCAAACCTGATTTATTTTGTTTGGTAGCAGAAATTGACAGGTACCATAAATGTACAGTGCAAAATGGCTTACGCTCTCAACTATGCTGAAGTTGTTGGCTTTTCTGGAACGTGTACAACTTGCATGTTTACCGAGGACTAACTCATGAGCCCATTAAGAACCTTATACACTATCTGTCTTTCCTCACATTATGTTGTCTGAATTACTTTTTTGTGACATTCTTGATCGACTGCGTCTGTACATTGACTCTGTATAATGGCTTTTTTATATATATAATTGATGGAAAATGAACAAAATGTGAAAAGGTGTACACTAGTGTCTTTATTTTCTTGGTAAGCATACAGAAATAAAGAGGTGCCTCACTGTATATTTACAGGATAAACATGTACATTTCTCACCTGGAGTTGTAGACAATGTTTCTGTGGTCAATCATATTGTTTTTTGCTACAAAAATATAAAAAGTCTAGATATTCTGAAATGTTCATGTTTTGTCAGACCCTCATTATAAGACGTGCTAATGTGCAACATTTGTCATGTAATTGTATTGCATTGTTCAGCAATGATATTCTATTGTCAGCCTCTGGTAGGTCTGGGGTAAACAGTAAGTAGATCCGTATGAAGCAGCTCTGAGGAGCTCATGGATTTCTGGGAATTTCAGCATTCCAGAACCAATGTGGATTTCAGCATTCCGGAATCCCGGAGACAGCAACCTCAGCTTCACATGTCAAGTCAGACCACTGACGTCCAATTCGGTTAAAAGATAACCCTACATTATCCTGCCCTGAACTCCTTAGGTCACAACATAGCCAGACTAGGATAAGGGGAAGTCTCCAAACACCCTGTGTTGACGATCTTATTCACATGCCTCCTAGATATCCACTTAGCTCCTGCATGCATGTTACAACGGGGTTGTGCGGCGGGAGAGTTGGAGGCAGGTAGGGGCATAAATTAGCTTAACCAGGGGAGATGACGTGGTTAGAGGTGGAGTGAGGTGTATAAAGCCCTTTTTAAGCCAAGGCAGAGTGCATACTAGGTCGTATTCGTTAGGCACCAAGATGAAGATTATGGACTGAAACACGGAACTACTACCTGAACTTGTCCGATAAAAAAACACTAATTATTGCTTTCCGTTGCTAAATGTTTTGTTACAGTGTGCCCTAATGAATATGACCCAACGTAGTTTCCACTTTATAATAACAACAAAAAATGTATACGTGATGACTTTGAATCAACGTGGAAAACTAAGTGGATTTGATGTGTGTGTCTGCATGCGTGTGTGGACTCTATGGGGGAATGTGCATGTGAGGGATATTTAAGGGGTGTGAGACGCTCTGTGCCGGGTGAGAAAGAGGAAGGAGGGGTGATGGTGGCTGGTGGCTGGCATGGTGGATGGAGCAGAGGAGAGGAAATAGTGCATAGTGCTGGCTCAGTGTGGAGGAGGCACAGCTTGCCTGGCAGGCCGCCCATCGCTCAGACCCTCCCTGCCACATCCATCCAGAGGCGCTGCAGCAGCGGAGGATAGGATAGGAGGCTCTCAGTCTCAGTAACTTTGAAAATACAGAAGTCATCCCTGTATGATGCATTTGCGTCATGTGATTCAAAACGCAGCATCATATTATGCAAAATGCATGATACGGGGATGATTTCTGTATTTTGATAACTTGATTGCTGACAAGCAAAAGATTTTGGGACTATGTCAACAATGGTCTAATGAAACAAATACCAAAAGATAGTTTTTGGGTGGAGTTTTCCTTTAAAGGAATCTCGTTGATTGCAATATAAACATTTAATGATTTACCCATCATCAATTACCAATGGGTTTTATGTTATTGTAATAATCTCAATAGATCAGAAATGAGAGAATGTCCACAATATTTCTCAAGTTCACAAATTGAACGGTTTATTGACCCAGAACTCACACAGGCTACTGTCTGGCCGTGGCCTGAGCCAAATAGATATAATATAATAATAGCAGGTATTCAATTCACTGTTGGGACCTAAGAAGAGGGAGAACCATGCAAGCATGGAAATATACCAGACATGTAGTGACCAGCCTCTGCCCAGCCCGCCCGCTGTTCCACCAACAACAAGGACATCTGTCCCTGACACATTCCAGGCATTCCCTTGATTGGCAGACAGCTGGTGGGACTGGCATGCTGGACCCCGCCTAAACCAGAGCTAACTGATAAACGTGCCCTAATCACCACACAACAACAGAACATCAGAACACAGGCACATAACTGTCCAAGCAGGTCGCCACATTATCTTGGTCTTCAGTTCCTGGTCACTAAGGTTAAAGGGAACCTGGTGTTTTTAACTGATACCAAGTGCATAAATAATATGTGATGGATCGAATGGATACACTTGAGTGGTGACTATATGTCCAGCGTTCTATACAAACCCATTCTCTTCATCTGTAAAACATTATGAAATAGGACATAGTCAACAAATATATTTTTATGCAATTGTGAATGCTGCAACAACTTACCACCAGTAGTAGTAAGCTACCTCAAAACCGAACAAGTGCTTGAGATGTTTCTTCCTGGAACCTTTCAGAAGTGTGACCTTACTGAACCACAGAATCAGGGTCATCTTGATTATTTACTTGGTCGTGTGGCTGTTCTTCCAGGGTTGCCATGGCCTTGGGATGGTGTTCGGTTGCATGTTGCCATGACTAAAACATGAATTCCGAGGTGGCGATTATTGGTGTACTGGAGCCATGGGGAGCGCCAGAGGAATGGAA